ATATATATATATATATATATATATATATATATTATTGATCAATATTTATTTTGGGAGCTAACTTGTTATATTAGTCTTGTATGTGTATAATATTTTGATTGCTTGATTTATTATATGAAGTTAAAAATAAAATTTATCAAAAGTCTTGATATAGTTCATATGAATAAGATATCTTATGTTATTAACATTGAAATATTCATGGATATATTTTAAGGATTACTATGACTATATAAAAAAGAATATATTAATCGGATCTTAGAGAGTTTTATTATATAACCTTATTCAACAAATGACAAAAGTAATTATTTTAGTCAAAACAAATATTTTTAAAAGTAATTTGATAAAAATTAAATGAAAAAAAATATATTCTTTATGTATGTGCAGTTCGAAGGTTATTATATACTCAAATCTATAATAGATCAAACATCAATTTTATAGTTAATATACTAGTTAGATATTAGAGTTATCTATGAATAAAATACTAAAAGCTAAAAAACTAAGATATTTGGAATGGATAAAAAATTATATGCTTCATATATAAAATTTAATAATATTTTCATATGTTTGATCTTGTAAATTATAGAAGATCCTTTTGGAACGTCTCATTCCTAGTCCCATACGTACCCTACGACTAAGATGGGATGTCACGTATCTTTTATTTATATTACTATTATCGATAATAATAATGTAAATGAAAAAGATGTGACATCCCATTGTAGTCTATGAATGGGACTGAGAGTGGGACGTGACATGTATACTATTGCCTAATGATATGATCTTATACGAATAACCAATTAAAGATATTATAAATATATTTTTATCTCTTATTATTTATAATACATTGCTCGTAGCAGCATGTGAAAAATAAGAAGAAAGAAAAAGATAAATATAGTTTTTCTTATAATTCGATATCACCGTAACTTTTAGATCCAACGATAATGTGCTTATAAATCAGATAAAGACTTTATGAGTAATATCAAAAGACATACATTGTATATTTGATTTTAATTTTTGATATTAAAGTTTTTCAAAATAATAGTAACATAAATATTATTTTATATTTACAATAAGTCATTAATTATTTTTTTTGAAAAAACTCATTATACCATCATGTTAGACTAGATTATTTTATTATTTATATTATTATTTCTTGAAAAAAATGATAATATAATGTTAATTTTTTAAAAGTTGAGTGATAAAGGTGAGATTGAAATCCAATATCTTGTAATAAATAGTCAATTTTTTTTATCAACTCGATTAATTGATATAAAATATATATTTTCAAAGAAAAAACTTTAATCCAATTAAACCACCTTGACAAAATGAACTTGCATGTCATCCATAACAAAAAAAAAAAAAAAAGGAGGTATGAACTCTCCCAAAAGCAAGTATGCTGTGACAACACATTTGACGATTTAGGTAGGTGAGAAACTTTCACTACTAATAGTTTGTCCAAGATATATAAAAAAATATTCTTAATGACAAGATATGAGGATAGATTTCTGAAAATTAACTAAGGATAAGAGGAATTGTTGTCTTACAATGACCATCATCAATCCAAAGTGGGCCAGATTAAATGATGAAGTCAGTTACTATAACAAAAAAATAAAAGAGAAAAATGAGTCATAAATATTAAGTAATAGTTAAAACTTACACGTAGAGGAATGATTAAATACTAACCAACGGTCAATTTTCCGTCAATTTGGATGATATAACTTTCGACAAATAAGGTCATTAAATCACAGCTTTTTAGCGACGCAATCCGCGAAAGCGCGTCAACGAGGTTACGGCAGCCGTCAATTCTCTATCTCGCGGCATCCGAGCCGTCAGTTCCCACCGCCTCTGAAAGGTTTCTTTGGCGTGGTTACGATACTTCACCTTATAACCAACCTTGTGGCGTTCCCCTGCCCCCACATCTCCACCGTCCTCTTCCTCTCTCGCTCGCTTCCACACTCCGCCCTGACATCCACCCTTCGACTCCAAGAGGCGAAATCGTGGCATCCACGTAGCGGCATCGGTTTACCCCCGCGGCCGGCCCTAAACCCTAGGCCCGGTTCTACTCCGTTCTCCGGGCTAGGCTTTTGGCCGTTCTTGAGAGTCAGGTACGTCATCAGCTGAAACCCTAGAAATTCAAGACATGGATCTTTGGCCTTCTACTTCGTTCGATGCCGATTCTGGTCGAGCACATTTTGGTCGAATCTTGATGCCCTTTCTTTGTTTCTTCCGCTGTGATTTCTTTTCTTTCTTTTCTTTCGTTGCGGTGATCTGTTCGATCTTATGATCAAAATACATAAATGATATTTGCTATCTGGGATGTTTATGCACGATCACTTGTTGGTTTGAGATGGTGAAATTGTGTATTGTCTTAATCATGGACACCGGATGCTACTGTCTCGTTTAATTATTTCCTGGGAGCTCACTGTGGCAGATTCATTCCTTTGTTATTTAATATGTTAGGTCATGTTGAATTATCAATATATAGTTTTCCTCTTCTTTCAATATCTCGTCGTGCTTAAGGCTGTTTTTTATTGTTCTTGATGCCCTTTCTTCGATGTCTCCCTATGAATCTTCTTTTTGTGCCATTCTGTTCGATTTTATGAACAAAATTCATTGACAATGGGACTTAGTGCTTGGGAGTAGTTTAGGGTTTTTATATCTTGATGCTTATTTCTTGGTTTATTATGATAGGCAATTTTATGCGTATATGGACCACGGAATTTACACTCTTGTTCCATTTAGCAAATTTTTGCTGTGCTCACTGTAGTTGCTTTCCTTTGTTATTTGGTACGGTGGGTCATGTTGTTAGTTTCTAACTATTTCGTCTTGTCACAGATTAGTGGAAATGGATGATATCGGAGTTATTAGCTACATCAAATGGTTACCTAGACTAGGATGTCCTATTAGTTATTGATGACCTTCTAACTATATTGTCTTGTCACAGAGTAGTGGTAATGGATGATTAAATAAATAAGTGAGCTGAATCTTTGTTATAAGAATGTGTTGAAATATCCTGCAATGATATTAGATTTGTTAGCCACATCAAATGGTTACCTAGACTAGGATGTAGTGTTAGTTACTGATGTAGATTGATGGCTGTG